GTGTTTCAAGTTAGGTGAGTGCTGATGAACATGTCTGCAACACTTAGATTGTACAATCTAAATTGTTCATTTAACCGATTACAATCCCACTTCACATATTCCTTTAGAACCCATAATTAAATAACATCATTAGCACTTACTAAGAAGTCCACCAAGCAATTAATTAACTTAACAAAAATTAACAACAAACTAAAATTGATTTTCTTGTCAGCAGAACCAGACAAAAGACACCATACAATTGAAAGATTGAGATTTCAATTCTTTATTGTAACTCCAAAGTTTCATGCGTGTATTTAGCTAAAGATAAATGATGGAAGTGGGGGAAACTGCATTAATTTAGTCCCAAAAAGAGGACATGTAAGAGTTTCAACTAATCATACTAATGCCCCACCATGCAACTTTTCAGTAATTAAAAGTTTGAATTTTCATATTAGAAATTTCGAGTTCTAATATTATGATGGAGGGGAAAGGATTTAGGAAGGAAAGGGTTTAGGAAGGAAAGGGTTATCCTTATTTTATAACCCATGCATCATCTGATGTACCAACAAAACTAATTATCATGCTGATTGAAATAATAATAATAATAATGCATTTGATATCTGTGTCCAGATTCCAGATCCAGAAGAGGGAAATGTAGTGGGGAAAATTGTTTCTGGTGAAGGAGGGGAGTCAGCTAAGAGAGTGGGGATTGCCAATTATTTTTATGGGAAGGGTGGGGTTGTGAGGGGACAATATGAGTTGTTCCAAATGAAGAGTTGAATTCTTTCTTGGCGCATTAGAAAGTGGTCTAATTATACAGACATTTGCCGCCCCTCCCTCCTTTAACTTATTATCAACACGCTCATCTCTGTACAATGACACCGGCAACCTTCTTTCCATGCTTCCTTAATTTTCATTTTATTTATTAAAAGTCCGTACAGGCTGTACAGTAGCATTACATCCCAGCAGCTGATTAATAATATATGCACCAGAGAGGCTCCATTTCACTAACAATGGCATCTTCATAATTGATTCCAAGTGGGGGCTTTGCTTATTTAGGTGTGTATGAAATGAATATTATTCATTGAGTTACCCCAGCAAAAGAACAATCTTTTGTTACAATATAAAGGTAGGAGATGCCGCTCTCCTATCAACTAACTTTTGAAATTTCCTCTTTTGTCTTCTGTTGGTAATACATCATAATCTGACTTTAATGCTGCTGCGTTGCTTTAATGCTATGCCTTTATATTATTCCAAGAGCAAGAAGAGGAAGGATCTAAGGAAAAGCAGCTCCATTTTTGCTGCTTTCTGCTTTATATTCATTACAAATGGTCCTGGATTAGTTGTCTAAAGAGGTAAATGGAATTTAGTGCCATGGCCCATGGCGGAAAAGATTGATGTTCATGAATTCTACCACTAGGAATTAACTAAATGTCTTCGGTACAATTTTGTACAATCACAAGTCATAAAAATGTCATGCAATTAATGTTTTCCTTGGAAAATGTCATATTACAGACATTTGAAAATGTCAACAAGACGACAATTGCTCAAAAAATTTCATGATAGAAAACTTTTCCTTCAAAACCAGAGTAAAATATCATTTCACTATCATTTGGCTCCAAGAGGGGAAAAGAGAAAACGAAAGAAAAACGACAACTAGGCAATCTTATAATTGCAGGACTAAGCAGAAAGGGAGAAGATTTTGCATTGCATACTGGACAAGTAACAACTAACAAGTTGGGCCCTACTTTGATCAATTCAAAGTCCAATCCTAAAAACTGGTTATGTTATTTTCAAGCTAATCGGAGCCTAACATTTCCATTCAAAAAAATATTCTAACTTTTGCTTTTTCCAAAGGTTTTTATTTTTTGAATAAATTTACAAGGGGTCGAATTCAAACCATTGTCTTGCGAGTGAAAGAATGCATTTATACATGACCTGCCGTCACTTGTACAAGCCTCAAGTGCACGTTTTCCAAAGGTTTTTATTTTTTGAATAAATTTACAAGAAGTCAAGATTCGAACTGTTGTCCTGCGAGTGAGAGAATGCACTTATACATCACCTGACGCCACTTGTCCAAGCCTCAAGTGCACGTTTTTCAAAGGTTTTTGTTGAAAGGAGATTTGAATTTGAAATGAAGCAATGGGACTGAGGACTTCTTAACAGCAATTAATGTATGTATCTTAAATTGGAAGTTTCTAGTCATAAAAGGGTCGTTCTTCACTAATTATACTCCAAGATCCAGAGGGTTTCATTAATGATTTTTGAAATAATTTTGCAAACCTAAAATTGAAGCAATTGATAGCTTGCAAATAATTTCACACAGAAAAATCCACAAGAGTCAACATCCCATAATAATGTAGCTTCCTCTGTATTGGTCTTAAATTGTTCATGAACAGCATACATCACTTCGCTCTGTTTTTGCTTTAGGGAGTTCCTAAATTCGAACAATCCAGCACTTGATTTGTACATAATCTATAGACGAGATACCCAAAGTTTGGGAGAAAATCAGAGTCAAAACCCTTATGTTCGATCAATTGTGACCATCTACAACATAATTCGAGCAATTTGATTGTATCTTCTATCTTCACTTTGCCTTGATTTGATTTCTTCTGCACACCTTAGGGTTTTCTCAATGTGGTATCCTCCCCCAATACTCACTTCCCTCTCCAAATGACAGCAGTAGCTCTCAAAAACACTCACATTCACATGCATTTTGAAACCCATCAAGAACAAGAACTCCAGCTCCAATTTGTTCAATTCATCTGTTGTCAATCCCCCCACTCTTGCAAAGTATGAATTTCTGTAATTCCTGCTCAAGAAAACACAGACCCATGTCAGGAAATCATCAATACTAAATACCCACAAAATAAAAATCGAAACTTTGAAAGAAAAACACAAAACTTACATGTCTTCGACATATTTGGATGCCACCATGATTGTTGTAATGAGAAGCCTATGTACATTTCTGGCATTGATTCTAAACCCAGGATTCCCCTGGCAAAACCGATCAATATACACATAGGCCACGACGTAAACCGAGGGACCGGCCCTGGTGTACCGGAAAATTCTCTCCAGGTAGGACTGAATCGTCATGTCCGGCGTCTCGTGGCAATCAAAGACCCTGGTTCTTGCATCTTTCGTCAATGCCCATGAACAATTCTTCACAATTCTCTCATTTCTCGCCATGGTTCTTTCAATTAGCGAAGCAAGAACCGAAATAACAAGTGGGGTATTGGAGTCGCTCTGGTAGGAATAGGAATACACATCGGATCGGAGCTTCCTCGGAGAAATAGCAGAATCAGAAGCAGCCATTTTTAAGTCTTTTTTGACAAAAGGAAAATGAAGCTCTTTTTTTTTTTGGCTCTCTAAGTAGAGAAAGAAAAGACCCAATTCGTGGGTGAAATCGGGGTTTAACTAGGGATTTATAGGAAGGGAGAATCCATAGAAGGTAGCAGCGAAGGTGAACAGGGAAAGGGAAGAAATGACATTTCGGAAGGTGGGTGGAAACAGAGAAAATATTGATATCAAAAAGATTTGAGTGTTTCCTCCTTGAAAAGCCACAGTAGATTAGTACAAACAAACCAGCTCAGCTATCCAAATTGTATAATCCCCAAGGATTTTGAGTCAATGTCAATGGATCGCTCGCCGACAGTTTGTTCTCAAGTAATGGGCATCAAAAAGAGATTTTCCTCAATGCCTAGCTTCCCTCCAGACCCACAAAACAAAACCAAATTTTGTACTGCAATTTGCAAGGATTTTTGGAAGTGAGATAGGTTTATGTGAATTTACAATGCACCACTTGAATAAGTAATTTTGGATGTAGCTTTTCTAATATTCATTTCAATAGGGTTTAGAGCCCAACATTTGTTTAGTTGTAGTTTTATTACAATCTTCAGTTCATGTGTGTTAAGGTTGTACATATATGAATTATAATTGCAATGCATTCAACTCTAATAAAAGATTTTAGATTTGTTACTTCAATATTAGATTCAGCTAACGATTTAAGTAATTTAGTCATCATTTTTTTTTCCTTAAAAGTAAAAGATTTTAAATTCAATTCGTATGACATGCAGATAGGATGAAATAAAATAAAAAATATAAAATGATTATTTTTTATTGTATAACAAGATAAAAATAATAATAATAATAATTAGATTCAAAGATGTGGTTCTCTCCCAATTGCTATAAAAATGTATAGCATTTATTAATGGTGCATGTGGTTGAACCTCCATGTTGACATGGGGTTGCCAGATTTGCCTACTACATATCCCACTGTGGGCAGTGGCACTGAGCCTAAGCAGAGTATTTCACAATTACACGTGCAATGGCTTGAAATGGCTTGACCTTTTAATAGAGGAGGTCAAATCTTGGTTTTCTACTTCCACCCACGTGCAATTACTTTTCTTGACCATTTGCTGAATGGATGGATCTTGTGGCCATTTGGCAAGTGTATTGATTGAAGGGTAGACAACACCGACACTAAATGTGAAAAAAAATTTGTTCCAAGGATTAGATTCATTACATGATGCTGCATCTAAATTCTGGAAAATAGAGAGAAAGTACATAGAGATTGTGATGTCTCTTTGTGGTTTTCAGATGTGAAAAAGGGTGGACCAACAATGGACGAGTGTTTGTGCGTGTGTGTTTTTTTTATTGAATTATTGGTTAACAATAAAAGCAATATCTTCTCCTTTATTAAAATTAGACATCACCAATCGATTGGATTTAAATGCTATTTGGTCCACCATGCCAGATCCTAAAATATCTAACCAATATTTTGCAGGCATTAATTTTCTCGCTAATATTTGTGGTTCATTTATTCATTTCTCATGGAAGCAAATGGCATTTTTATTTTCTTTATTAATTAAAATCTTGATACTTTTACTATAAAATATAAAACTTTTCCGCTATATGATGAATCAATGGTTATGGTTATGGTTGTGCATTGCCGATTACATTCTGGTTTGGTGATTATAGATCCTAGATGATTGCATTCCCTTCTCCCCACCTCCTTTCGCTCGTACTCAATTGTTTTACCTATAAAAAGAAAGAAAAAAAAAAAAAAAAAAAAGGCCGAACCGACACTTCCTAGTTATTTATTTTTTTTATATTAATTTTTTGATATCAAATAATTACTTTGGATCTTAATTTATCCGAAATCAAATCGCGTCGAATCCTATTTGAAGGAAACTTTTTTACTATTTATTTTTTTATTCATAAAATTTAAACTTAAAATCTTATTTAAAAAGAATTGAACTCGTTTCATTCGAACTAACAGATAATTGATTCCTGGTTCTTATTTATTGTAGAGTATTAGATAGATTCCGTAGCTCAAATTTTCTTTTCTAAAAAAGAAAGAAAAAGAAGGGGGAATTCTCATTGCCGAAATAGTTTTCAATTTTTTTCCTTAAAAAAAAGTAATCGTTGCCTCAGAGAGTTTAGACAGGCCGAATATCTCACCTGGGTCCTGGGCCGGTCTAGATATGTAATGTAGCCCTCTAAAATCGTGGTCTTCTATCTAATTCATTTATGTCTGCTGGCCCAAAAAATATCTGATTCACATGTATTATTAGAACTTTCTGTTTTACCATTATTATTTTAAAAAACAGTAAAATATATATTATTAGATGAAAAAAATCTTAATATTATAAAGTTTGCTCTTATTTGTACAGTTTAAAATCTTAATATCCTTAGTACTACCATCTGGTTTGGAAATGGAAATGGAAAAGGAAAAACAAAAAAGAGATTTTTTAAGGATACAGAAAACAATTGCCTTGATTTGGGTCCATACCAAACCCCTTGAAATTGGAGGCCTGCTAAAACTATCACAAAAATAAGAAGGCTAGGGTCCATCACAAAAATCTCCTCATTTTGTCGATTGATTTGCATCAAAGAAAAGAAAAGACCAAACACCCAAGCAGATTTTCCTTAAAATTGTTATGTTGAAATAAATTGTCACAATAAAAAAATGTTAAGATAATTTGTTACACTAAATCTTCATTTTTAAGAAATTAGTATGAATCTAATAGTCATTATTAATTTTTCATTAAATTTCAAGAGCAATAATTTAATAGTGTTTAATGATAAATGTTAAATTTAGGTCAATTTCTTGAAAATAAAAGTTTGAAGGGGCATTTGTATTAACATATTTTTTAGTGGTGACTTATTTTAACATAACAATTTTGAAGGACAATTTACATATTTGACCTTTTTTTTTTTTTTTTGAATCTCTAGATCTAGAAAACTAATAAACACCCAGTTTAATTTAACGAGACGTTGGGAAGTAAACATAAAAATATATAACAGAAGGTGTATCATATCATTATCTAAAAAGTAAAATTCAATTTGTGAGATGCATGCTACACCATTTTTTGAGAAAGGAAAATGATTTGTGCACATCCGGGTCAACACTTGGGTGTGCACACTCCCCATTGAAAAAAAAACCCATCACCATTGGGTCTAAATTTTTTTTTTTTTATGTGAGGGTGCACACCCAGGTGTTGGATCCGGGTGTGCACCAATCAAGGTCCTTTGAGAAATGAGTTTTGAGTTGAGTCCTTGATCAACCCTAATCTGTGCAAAAGCAATTTGAAAAGGATATATGATACAACTTTCTTCTTGTTGCAACCTTTTTTTTTTGAAAATAGGCAATGGTTCGTTGCAACTTGTCTTAGCGTCGGCGAGGAGTATAAGATTCTCACCCTTTTTTTCCTATGCTAAATGACATGTCACATTTGGTAGGAAAAAAAAAAACACAATGATATAACTACAATGTTTATGTAGTATAGTTTATAATTATAATGTATTATTAAATAAATTGATATATATAATATTATAGATAAATTTATAAATTAAAATAATTAATTATATAATAATATATTATAATCATAAATTTAAAATAATATGTCACATTATATATATATATATATATGGAAAAAGGATATCTCACAGCTCACGGGTTCTTCTAAAAAAGGGCTTGGCACATTGCAACTTGGGTTTGAGTCCACCGCTTTAACTAATGATAACAGAAATTATTTAATTTAATTTAATAATGGTTTAAGGGATATTAAAAAAATTAGTATATTTTAATAATTAAAATGTCATGAATTATAACTAAAAAAAATTAAATACTCTTAGTGACAATGACATAATGTTTTGATTTTTACTATTTTATTATTTAATATTTTTTAATATGAAATTCTCACCCAACATTGACAAGTAAATATGTTTTTCGAATTTTATGAAACGAAACAAAAAATATTAGGTAAGAAGAAAGTGTTTCCGTGGTAATCTCTTTGTTTAATGGTTCTTTTATTTCTTCAAAAGGAAAAAAAATAATTTATTAAAATTATTTACAGTGAATTTTATCCAAATAAAAGTAATTTTTTCTTATTTAGTTTAGATATGAAAAGTGAAAAAAAAACATGATTATTTCGTTGGTGAAACGGCCAAAGATTATTTAGTAGTGTGGAACCCATTTGACAAACGTGTGGTGATCCCCTATACTCAAGTTGACATATTAGCATCAAATGATTTAAATGTTTTCCTTTTAACAACATTACATGTTATATGTCACCATTTTGGCTTTCATATTGACAACAATATGTATCTTCCCGTGACCATATTGATCCACCGTCAATTACCGTCGTCTCATACCCAAAATTTGGTTATATATTCTCCAATTAAGAAATGACTGTCTAATTAGCAACTAACAAGAAATAGAGAAAAACACAAAAATTAAGGGATAATGATGCATGCATACTCTCGCACCACACACTCTGTTACACATTTCAATTTTCATTATTTTATTGTTAATTATACTTAACTCCGTTACCATCTTTTCAGCCATCTCCCAACTCACCCAACCCTTTCTGTCCTTACTAGATCCATCTTCCTTCTCACCTCTATCTTTATCTTAATCATCTGTAAGACAATTGTCAATCTCTCCCAGATTCCCACCTTCTTCCTTTTTTCTTTTTTCTTTTTTTTTTTTTTTTGTTTTTTCTGGAGAACTCGATTTGGGTTCTCCAAGAACCCAGACCTGGGTTCTTCTTAGAGAACCTAGATCGGGTTCTCCATGAGAACCTAGGTGAGAACCCAGGAGAAAAAAAAAAAAAGAAGAAGGTGGGAACACGATGAGAGTAAAATGAAGACTAATGAAGTGTGAAAGTTAACGGAAAAAAGAATGTGTAATGGGAGTGTGGTATGAATATGTATGTACCAATCATGATCCAAAATCAAAATACAAGTTTAGAATTAATGGATTGAATCTTTGATAGACTTTTACACACAGCATACATGAACATAGTCGAGTGTTTCAAT